TCAAACAAATTGTAAAGCTAGGATATCTACATCTACAAATAACCTTCGAAGATGGGGAATTAACACTGTCCACTTGGAACACAATCATAACACTAGTTCTTCCAAGTCTAGGTTGTATCAATGCAACCGCGAAATGAGTGCAATTGTGAAAAGGAAGCTTGAATTGAACGATATGGCAAGAATTTCTTTGCACAAAAGTTTCAATTTCACAGTTGTAGAAGCAGGTGGGTACGAGGATATGACGTATGTTGAGAGAGATTGTCAAAACTATATCGAACAAGTGAGACGTTATGACTTGGAGAAGGGGATGCTGCAGCTCTACAATCATACATTTCGAGGATGCAAGCAAGGTGCCCAAGATTCTACTTTAGTATAGATTTGGATGATAAGTCACGGCCCGAAAATGTATTTTGGGCATATAATAGGTCCATGCAAGCATACAAAGAGTTCAGTGATGTTGTCACATTTGACATTAGTATCTCACGAATAAGTATGACATGTTGTTTACACCTTTTATTGGAGTGAATCATCATAGACAATCAACACTGCTTAGCTGTGGTTTGTTATCAAATGAGAATACACGCACGTTTGTGTGGCTGTTTAGGACATGGCTCCAGTGCATGCATGGGTAACCTTCCCATAGAATAATTACTAATCAAGATAAGGCCATGCAAAATGCGATTGAGATTGTCTTTCCGAGTACAAAGCACAAATGGTGTTTGTTGCACATCATCAAGAAGTTTCCAGAAAAGTTTGGCTATCACATTGATAAAAGTTCAATATTTTCATGTATGCATGGATTAGTATACGATTCATAGATTGATGATGAATTCGAAAAAGGCTAGATGGCTATGATCGATAGGTTTGACTTGCACGATAATGATTTGTTGTCAGGCTTGTATGAGAAGAGACGTCGTTAAGTAACTTGCTTTTTTTAGACCATTTCTAGGTAGGAATGTCCACGACGTAATGATATGAGAGTATGAATGCATTCTTCGACGGATATATCTATTCGAAGACCTCATTAAAGCAGTTTGCCGAATGGTACGAAAGGGCACTACGGAGTAAGGTCGAAAAGGAGTTTCAGGCTGATTTCAAGTCATACTCGCAATTTATACCGTGCGCAACAACATTTGAAATGGAGATGCAAATTTCAATCAGTTTACATTATTTCAAAGTTCAAGAAAGTGCAAGATGAGTTCACAGGGAAGTTTATTGCGATGTCATTTCAGTTTCAGATGGTTATTTTGGGACGACATATGAGGTTCGAGAGTCTGTTACATGTCCCAGTGGCAAGAAGAAAAAACGTTCATTTTCTCTTATCGGAACAAGACATGTAAAGTTATTTGTAGCTACCATCTGTTTGAGTTTCATGGAATTATTTGTATGCATGCGATCACAGTCTTAGATCGAAATGATGTCATTAGAATGCCAAAGAAGTGCATAGTACGAAGATAGAGGAAAGATATTAGTAGAGCCCACACAAAAGGTTGCAGTGAACTATGATGGGCTAGTTAGTACTCTTGAATAGATGATGTACGATGATATGTGTTAGGCATTTTCAGAGGTGGCAGACCTTGCTGCAAACGATGAAAGGCGAGCACATGCAATAATGGAGCGGATAAAATGTCAAGCTGCAGAGCTAAGGTCTTCGAAGTCTAGTAGTGGTAGCGATGTTCTTTCCCAGGCAACTTTTCATATAGCAAGTCAATGTACTTTGATTCACAAAATACTATTGGAGCGAGCATATTAGATCCCAAATCATGGAAGCTTCATGGAAACTACGGAAAAAAGCCCATTGGACTCAACTTCAAAAAAAGCAAAGGTATGTTGGTCTATTAACCTTTTCAGCCACAAAGGACATCCACTACCAATTCAAGATCTGCCATTTAATTGCATTAATTATATATAAAAGTATTTATGTCCAAAGTCGATTGGACCTAGGGCATAATACTTACATCAACTTCAAAAAAAGCAAAGGTATGTTGGTCTATTAACCTTTTCAGCCACAAAGGACATCCACTACCAATTCGTTTCGATTCCCATCCAATAGATCTCATTGTGTTTGGTTAGGAATTGTGATAGGATTGTACCTTTTGTCAGATCTGCAATCTTTTTGCTTTTGATTACTAATCAAGATAAGGCCATGCAAAATGCGATTGAGATTGTCTTTCCGAGTACAAAGCACAAATGGTGTTTGTTGCACATCATCAAGAAGTTTCCAGAAAAGTTTGGCTATCACATTGATAAAAGTTCAATATTTTCATGTATGCATGGATTAGTATACGATTCATAGATTGATGATGAATTCGAAAAAGGCTAGATGGCTATGATCGATAGGTTTGACTTGCACGATAATGATTTGTTGTCAGGCTTGTATGAGAAGAGACGTCGTTAAGTAACTTGCTTTTTTTAGACCATTTCTAGGTAGGAATGTCCACGACGTAATGATATGAGAGTATGAATGCATTCTTCGACGGATATATCTATTCGAAGACCTCATTAAAGCAGTTTGCCGAATGGTACGAAAGGGCACTACGGAGTAAGGTCGAAAAGGAGTTTCAGGCTGATTTCAAGTCATACTCGCAATTTATACCGTGCGCAACAACATTTGAAATGGAGATGCAAATTTCAATCAGTTTACATTATTTCAAAGTTCAAGAAAGTGCAAGATGAGTTCACAGGGAAGTTTATTGCGATGTCATTTCAGTTTCAGATGGTTATTTTGGGACGACATATGAGGTTCGAGAGTCTGTTACATGTCCCAGTGGCAAGAAGAAAAAACGTTCATTTTCTCTTATCGGAACAAGACATGTAAAGTTATTTGTAGCTACCATCTGTTTGAGTTTCATGGAATTATTTGTATGCATGCGATCACAGTCTTAGATCGAAATGATGTCATTAGAATGCCAAAGAAATGCATAGTGCGAAGATAGAGGAAAGATATTAGTAGAGCCCACACAAAAGGTTGCAGTGAACTATGATGGGCTAGTTAGTACTCTTGAATAGATGATGTACGATGATATGTGTTAGGCATTTTCAGAGGTGGCAGACCTTGCTGCAAACGATGAAAGGCGAGCACATGCAATAATGGAGCGGATAAAATGTCAAGCTGCAGAGCTAAGGTCTTCGAAGTCTAGTAGTGGTAGCGATGTTCTTTCCCAGGCAACTTTTCATATAGCAAGTCAATGTACTTTGATTCACAAAATACTATTGGAGCGAGCATATTAGATCCCAAATCATGGAAGCTTCATGGAAACTACGGAAAAAAGCCCATTGGACTCAACTTCAAAAAAAGCAAAGGTATGTTGGTCTATTAACCTTTTCAGCCACAAAGGACATCCACTACCAATTCATTTACGGTTCGATGTATATGCAAGGTACTTCGACTAAATGCAGAGAAAAGAGACAAAGAGATATTCATGTTGATATAGATGCCGCTGCACCAGTTGTCCATTTCACTCCACAAGTTCAATGTTCGCAGCCGACTCCATTCTCATTTTCACAATTGTTGTTGGTTAGTATATAGATTTTATTTAATTGTACGCTTTTTTGAAGTTGTATTCATGTTATTATTTGATGTAGGGTGACATAGAAAGCCAAGTGTTTACCCACCAATTTCCTTCATCTACTTTGATGCCCCCGTCATCTACTAACATCACATTCAAAAAGCAAGGTGAACACACTTTACTGCCATATTGCACGTTAGGTTCTTCTGGTCCATACTTTGGTCGGCCATATTTACCACAGCCAGGTGCCACGGCTATTGGATTGGATCAGATGGGTGTTCAATTTTGTCGAGGTACAAGTTTTTCCTTAATTTCTTATTTTATGACCTTTACATACGATGTTTTTTTTTAGTTATGCTTGGCTCTTTTTTAATTTTTGGTAATCGAGATCCCAATTATACTCCATGTTTATATCACTTACCTCCGTATAATATATAGTCTGTTTAATATTTCTAGCTGTACTTTTGATTAGCTAAGTTTGACAAAGAGATTTGATCAATGGGAATTTTAAAACTATAGTTAAAGTACTCTAATATTATTGTTAATTTTTGATAAGAATCTCTTCCTTGGAAAATTGAGCATATCCTACCTCTTTCCCGTTCCACGTAATGTGAGTCTTTTGGGCTTTGGAGTCTTAATTTTGTGTAGGTGCAGCACTTACCTGATGTTTTTATTGGATAAAACATATGTTACAAATTTACTTTTTTGTACTCATAAAAAGGGCCGGTTGAAAGTTTTGCCAGTCTGCCACCCCATATTTTTTATGCATAGTTTATTGACGGTGGACTTATATGGGTTTTCCTGTACTGGGACTTTATTCAAAGAGCAAAACCAACAGCTTTCCATTGTGTTGTTGTTTTTATTATCAGGTAAATGCCATAGATTCTTCCCCCAGAGCTTCATACATTGCTAATCCTTCCAATGCCCCCCATAATCGGCCGTGATGTATGTTCACAACGATAAAGGAAGCTCATACAACAAGTGACGTGACGGTTGAACTATTAAGAAAAGATTCCTTTGGTGGCCGAACACCGTAATGCAAAAATCTGGAGGAACCTTTTTATGCTCACTATTTTTTTCATATTTTCTTTTTCAAGTTAGTGTTGTCTGTACTATTTTGGGTTCGAACACTTCTATGAAGTATATAAAATCTTTACATTCCATTGGCTATTGTTGGATATGGTTTCATATGAGTTCTCACTTATTATAGAAACCACAAGCAATAGTTCACCAGTAAACAATGCTTGCACCATCAGATATGAAAAGAAATGATGTAATGCTGTGTTCAACGGGAAAGCTAAGGCAGTGTTTCATTGTCACAATAATCAACTGACTTAGGCCAAACTAAAATGTCCAGACCTAATTTAAGCACATGGGGTGAAAACATAATTATCAACCTCCCAGAACTGCTAAAAACATATAAGAGCTGTACATGTACGCTAGTCTATAAAATTATCACATCCAAGAGATATCTTGCCATCAACAGCATTGTCCACAAATTCCAAGTGACATCCAGTAATTTTTAACTTCATTCGTTCTCTTCCATGAAGAGTTACAAGCATTTCACAACATAAACTAATAGCCATAGAAGAAGAAGGGGCCCATACCCATAGCAGTCATGAAATCCTTACAAACTATCATTGAAAATAACTGAAGACTACCATACGGCAAGAGCAAAAGTTATCTCTACAAAATATAAGTCTACCGTGCCATTAAAGGATCATAGTTTCCAACAAAAAACACATAGTTTAAAAAACAGCAAATCCCAGTCTTTCTATACACATGAATCATGGCCTTCTCCTTTGCTGTTCACGTCCGTGCTTCGCTTTTCCTTACAGAATGTCACGTTCAATGAAATCTCAATGTCTCATTTTTCAGCTATTTGAGCTAGACTATCGAACATGGTTGGCAAATCTTCAACTTCTTTGATGGGTGCAGGATTAATTGACTCATTAATATTATTTGATTCATCGCTTGATTCTTCATTCACAACCCAATCAAAATTCCACAATTATTACTGCAGGTTTTGAATAATCGTCCTCTGTTATTAGTCTCGCGTTCAACCTCAAAACATTTCTGCAATCCTTATGCACACCATGGACATCATCGTTTTATCGGTTAATCCCTAAAGAAGTGCTTCATGCTTCTATAGCCATGACAAACACCAGCATTCTGTCCTCCCATCCTGGACAGAAAATCAGCAAATAAAATCAGGAAGAAAAATTCTAGATCAATCCCTTAGTTTTCAAAGTTCTCTATCTCAGCCAATCCAACCTTTTTCATAGATTCTAAATAACAATGCATATGCCTCCAACAATCTTTCATCCAATGCATATATTATTCTATTGATTACGAAAGCCTGATGACGTAGTACTACAAATCGCGAGTACTTCCTGTAAGTGTTATGCCCTAGATCCAATCGATTTAGGTTGTAAACGCTTTTAATATATTTAATGCATTTGATTTTGGCGATCTATTATTTATTTAAATTAATTTTGTAATAAATAATATTAAATAATAGAATCCGAAGATCCAATTTTTAGGTAATCTGTTAATCACAAGGAGTTGTGATTGTGAGATACAAATTACATATAATTGGATCTTGAATAAATCATGGTCGTAAGTAGTAACGAGATACGGATATCGTTAATACAGTTAGACCATCACGTGTGGCATTTCTTACTTGTGAAGTAAGTAGCTGATCTCACGAGCTAAAGTGTGGTGACACTTAAATGAACACGTGGATGTTTTGTTATAGAACAAAACATTGGAGACCCGCTAAGAGATTCCACATGGATAACTATCTGAGTGTCAGTTGCTAATCTCTAACGTTCGGTAGTAGAATTGGTCCTTTGATTTGAGGTCGTCATGATACCTTATATGAGGACAGTCATACT